GTTCGCTTTGCAATGAAGCACGATTCATACCACCTTGCGCGCAACGCCCGCACAGCTCGTGTCAAATCGTGACGCGATTCACAACGTCCGGTTCGAAGCCAACTGGAAGTACATTAAGGAACGTCGCAACGACTAATCCAACAGAAAAAATAGGGAAAACGCAACGCGTGTCCTCATCAATACAATGTCAACGATACCATGATGATTCAACAGTATTAGCACCGCAAGTATGGTCCAGCACAAAGTACAAAGGTCCTTACACTTAGACGAGTCAATGACATGGCACTGTACGGCTCCAACATGCTACCGCCAACGGCGGCACAATCTACCAGACGCTTGGAACATAAGGTATTTAACACCATACAAGGCCTGATCCCACTTGTAGGATTGCCATCGTGCGATGCACATGTCTACATCCAAATTCATGAGAGTGCCCCGCACTTTAAATCATATGTTCTCCTTGTCCGAACTGCTGTCGCGCTTTCTGTTGACCCTTGTCAGGGGCGAATGCAATACACGGCTCTCAGCCTTATTCGCGACTCGATCCTAGATAGGGTTTGAGTTCGACTCATGACTGAGTCCTCGTGAATAGTCATTTGAGACAGGGTTCTCATGACCGCTCTGGTCATACTAGGTTGATGATGAAACATCGCTCTAGATATTTAGCTAGCGTGGCAGTACTCACGCTACTAGATCCATGCTAGACAAACCTTCACGCGTTCCGTTTTAGGATCGTGGAGATACGTAGGATTACTACCAGCAACCTACTCTATCACACTTTAACAGTCTCCCGCGGGAGGCCAGATCTACGATCCCTTGATGATGATCTCTCTCGTTGATTAGTTTTCATAGCTTTCTAATCCTCTTCATAACTTTCATTCTCTCAAACTCAAAACACTCGAAATCTTACACTAGCTTTTAGCGTAGTGCAAAGGGCAAAGTAATGAAGGAAGCACTCCCTTTTCCTGCCTGCTCAAACTTGCGACAATACCATTGTGGATTGATTAATCTAACGATCTAAGAGATTAAAGTTTGTATTTCCAAATAAGTGAGCAGTTATTGATTATTTCTAGAATAGGCCTGCAATTATAAAGCTGTAAGCTGAATTGTAAGCTGTATCCGTCGCACTCCCTTACAGCTGAAATGAAGCTGTAGCAAGAAACATAGGAGAGAGCCCCAGCAACGTGCTGAGATAGATTACCATCCCATGAGGATAGCTTCCGAATGACTGCAGATGCTTCTGTATCAAGTAAGAAACAGAGTGTAACGGTTTTCGTTTCCCTTTTTCTCGCTTGTTAATTTTAACATATGCAGGGTTTTGAGGTCTCTTGTTTTGCGACGTTTACGAGGGTGTTGGCCACGGACGGGTTAACGATGCTAAATAGATTCTCAGAGTCTAGTTGAGCGGATTCTAGGCAATCATCTATTTGCCGTAGGTTCTTCAGTTGCAAACAATTTTTTTTTACTAGTTAGTGAGAGATATTCATCACTTTGGTATGAGAAATCGGAAAATGGTTCCGTGGAATCATCATTCTGGCCTTATCCTCAGATGGAGATTTCTCCTATCCAAGTGATTGAAATTTGTAGAGGAGTTGTCCTCATAGTCAGAGTCTTCTGATTTGCGCTGGGCAATATGGTTGCGAAGTCTGCAAGTGGTTTGCACGGAGTATCGTCATCTGGTTTCTTCTTCTTTTTTCGACGAGAGGAAGATGGGGTTTGTCACGCAACTGATTCTCAAAGTTGCGGAACACATGCTTTACTTGAGCTTTTATGGTGTAGATAGGTTGGGGTAGCTGAGCGTATTGTTTGTAACAAATGCACTACGTAAACAGGGTAAAATCTTTCGAGTTTGTTGTTGAGTGAATGTAAATTATGAGAGAGATTAGAAAGGTAAGAAAACTAATAAACGAGAAAGATCACCATCAAAGGATAGTAGATCTGTGCCTCCGCGGTCGTGTAACTTATAAGTGTATAGGTAGGGTTGCTTTTTTTTTTTTTTTTCCACGATCTAAAATGGAACGGTGGAAGGTTTGTCTTAGTTGGTATTTTTAGCGTGGAAAGTACTCCACGTCTCATTGTATATTCTTAGAGCTGATGTTTCCATCTCAACTCGTATGCCAGACGCCGGTCATTGAGAACCCCTTCGTCATCAATGAACGTGCGATTTCGAGGGACTCAGTCATGGTCTTTCCTATTTTTTTTTGATGCGAATAAGGCTAGGGCCGCTGTTTCGCGACTTCTTTGCTGCCCTCAGCTGTTCTTAAGGGCACCTCTTTATCGGAAGCTGTCTCTTTGTCGTTGAGTTCTCGTAGTTTCCTTTTCTGACCAGCTCGTTTCTGTTCTGTTTGATGGTCTCTTGTTGAGTGCGTTCCTGTGACATGATTACAACTGATCTTTGTAATTGGAGCGCTTACTCTCTTTCGAGTAGTGGCCATGTCGACTTGTTTCTGTTCCTGTTGGGCGTTCATGATTTGGTGTTCCCTGTACCTTAGCAGCCAGATTAGTCAGCACTGATCGAGTCAACACGTACGGTACTCAAGTGTTTTTCGCATGCACAAGCATGTCACCTGCGTTCTTTACTCTGTCGAGTCAGCATTCGTGTTGGAAGCTTGCAGGGGCACTCGAAAGGGTGTTCCTGGTTGTCTTCGCTGACCAAAAGTGGCATGCATGCATGCAGCTTTTTGCACTTTTGCTCTTAATTCAAGTCTAACCTTCTGTCCTCTATTCTGCTTTTCTTAGACAAACAAATCAAATGACATTCTTCATTAGATCGGCTCCATCTTGGCCCCCTCTTTGCCCTGTTTCCTTTTTGGCAAGCGGTCCCTGTTGGGGTGGTTGGACTTGTCCCTTTTCCTGGCTGCCTGATGGAAGCTGGGGGTCTTTCAAGAGAGTCCCAGCAGAATTTTTAGTAGGCAGGAAAAGGGAGTGCTTCCTTCATACTTTGCCCTTGCTTCTGCCCTACTGCCTGATCCTGTGTCCCTGTTCCTGATTGCCTGATCCTGTTTGGCTCCTTGCCATCCTCTTGGCCCTGTTCCTTTTGGCAAGATCCCTGTTGGTGGTTGGTTTGACTTGTCCCTGTTCCTGGCTGGTTCTGTTTGGCTCCCTCTTGGCTCCCTCTTGGCCCTGTTCCTTTTGGCAAGGTCCCTGTTGGTTGTTGGTTGGACTTGTCCCTTCCTGGCTGCCTGATTGAAGCTGGGGGGTCTTTCAAGAGAGTCCCAGCAAAAGTTTGACCAGGCAGCAAAAGGGAGTGCTTCCTTCATACTTTGCCCTTTCTCATCTCTACTGCCTGTCCTTCCCTTTTCCTGGCTGCCTGATCCTGTTTGGCTCCCTCTTGACCCCCTCTTGGCCCTGTTACTTTTGGCAAGGTCCCTGATGGTGGTTGGTTGGACTTGTCCATGTTCCTGGCTGCCTGATGGAAGCTGGGGGTCTTTCAAGAGAGTCCCAGCAAAAGTTTGACCAGGCAGCAAAAGGGAGTGATTCCTTCATACTTTGCTGCTTCTGCCTACTGCTGATCCTGTCCTGTTCCTGTCTGCTGATCGTTGGGTCCTCTGGGCACCCTATTGGCCCTGATTCTTTTGCAAGGTCCCTTTTGGTGGTTGGTTGGACTTGTACCTGTTCCCGGCTGCCTGATCCTATGTCCCTGTTCCTGGCTGCCTGTTCCTGTTTGGCTCCATCTTGGCCCCCTCTTGGCCCTGTTCCTTTGGGCAAGGTCCTAATGGTGTGTTGGTTGATTGTCCTGTTCATGGCCGCTGGTTCATGTGTCCCTGTTCCTGGTCTGCCTGATCTTGTTTGGCTCCCTCTTGGCGCCCTCTTGGCCCTGTTCCTTTTGGGCACAAGGTTCCTGTTGGTTGGTTGGGTGGTTGTTGTTCCCGGCTGCCTATTCTTTTGCTCCTTTTGTGAGTGCTGGTCCCTTCTTGGCTGTTGTGGTTCCTGTGACATTGGAGGTCACTGTTGGTTGTTCCTGTGACATGACCCCAGGATTTGAATCGGAGCTGACTACTCTTTCCAAGCTAGTAGATTTCGACCTGCTTTTCAGTTCCTGTTGGAGCTCACTGTTGTCGGCTCCTGTGACATAGCACCAGTCGTTCAGCTGATCGAGTCAAAACGGTACGGTACACCTGTGTTTTTCACATGCAAAAGAGTGTCACCTTTGTTCTTTACTCTTGTGAGTCAGCATTTGTGTTGGAAGCTTCCAGGTTCATTCGAGAGTGTGTTCCTGAGTGTCTTCGCTGAACAAAATTGGCATGCATGCATGCAGCCCTTTGTACTTTTGCTCTTGATTCAAGTCTAACCTTCTGTCCTCTAATTCTGCTTTTCTTAGACAAACAAGACCCGCCGATCCGTCCTTTCTGAAACAGATCTCTTTCCAAGCTATTAGGTTTCGACCTGCTTTACTGTTCCTGTTGGAGCTCACTGTTGGTGGTTCCTGTGACATGACCCAAGGATTTGAATCGGAGCTGACTCCTCTTTCCAAGCTAGTGCATTTCGACCAGCTTTTCTATTCCTGTTGGAGGTCACTGTTGGTGGTTCCTGTGACATGACCCAAGGATTTGATTCGGAGCTGACTCCTCTTTCGGAGCTAGTGCATTTCGACCTGCTTTCTGTTCCTGGTTTGCCAGGGTCATCATGTTGTTGGTTCCCTGTGACTAGCACCAGTCGGGCGGCTGATCGAGTCAAACAGTTACGGTACACCTGTGTTTTTTGCATGCAAAAGTATGTCACCTGCGTTCTTTGCTCTTGCTAGTCAGCATTTGTGTTGGAAGCAGCCAGGGCTGGGGTGTTCTTCTTCTTCGCTGAACAAAAGTGGCATGCATGCATGCAGCCCTTTGTACTTTTGCTCTTGATTCAAGTCTAACCTTCTGTCCTCTATTCTGCGTTTCTTAGACAAACAAGACCCCGCCGATCCGTCCTTTCTGAAACAGACTCTCTTTCCGAGCTAGTAGATTTCGACCTGCTTTTCTGTTCCTGTTGGAGCTCCGTTGGTGGTCCTGTTCCGTGACATGCCAACGACGCAAGGGCAGCGAGATTACTTGCCAGCTTCAGAATCTCAACCAATGGATGACCCTCGCGGTGCTGGAGTGCAAGACGTCATTGACGATGCTGCCGATGGAGACAAATCGCGTCTCTTGTGGCAATTCCGCGTGGGCGAGTCTATTGAATACTACTCCCGCTATCACAAGGGCGCATGGATGCCTGCCATTGTCCAGAAGATTGACGAACATGCGCTCCGAATCAATGTTGCCGGATATCGTGATACGAGGCGGATTCTCGCCTCTGATATTCAAACAAAGATTCGCAAGACGGAAAAAACAAAGGGTAAGTGAGAAAGCTCTCTGTTTCTCTTGATATTCGATTCTAGTTTTTGTCAGGGCATCTCGCCAACGCCAACACCAGAGCAAGTGCAACAGGAGAACAAGGACTGGAACCGTACTCCGTGGCTCGTCAGCGAGTCAGCGACTGTGTGATGAATCGCAACTGAGCTTGAACAAGAATAGAGATGATAGCCATTGGCATTGTTCGACAGTGGTTGCCTGAAGGCCACTGGATGGCGGCTCTTGTACGACCCCACCGCCAACTAAAGCTGATTGTGGAAGCAGTGACAGAACTCCTCACGACAGCTACCGTATTGGTAGCTCTGGCAGTGTATAGATAGATCACATCAAAGCTACTAAGCAATCTAAGCCTGTTTCGGGATGACTGGCTGGTCGCCATGGCCAGGAAAGTTGAACAAAAGACGTCATTGACGATGCTGCCGATGGAGACAAATCGCGTCTCTTGTGGCAATTCCGCGTGGGCGAGTCTATTGAATACTACTCCCGCTATCACAAGGGCGCATGGATGCCTGCCATTGTCCAGAAGATTGACGAACATGCGCTTCGAATCAATGTTGCCGGATATCGTGATACGAGGCGGATTCTCGCCTCTGATATTCAAAGAAAGATTCGCAAGACGGAAAAAACAAAGGGAAAGTGAGAAAGCTCTCTGTTTCTCTTGAGATTCGATTCTAGTTTTTGTCAGGGCATCTCGCCAACGCCAACACCAGAGCAAGCGCAACAGGAGAACAAGGACTGGAACTGTACTCCGTGGCTCGTCAGCGAGTCAGCGACTGTGTGATGAATCGCAACCGAGCTTGAACAAGAATAGAGATGATAGTCATTGGCATTGTTCGACAGTGGTTGCCTGAAGGCCACTGGATGGCGGCTCTTGTACGACCCCACCGCCAACTAAAGCTGATTGTGGAAGCAGTGACAGAACTCCTCACGACAGCTACCGTATTGGTAGCTCTGCAGTGTATAGATAGATCACATCAAAGCTACTAAGCAATCTAAGCCTGTTTCGGGATGACTGGCTGGTCGCCATGGCCAGGAAAGTTGAACAAAAGACGTCATTGCCGATGTTGCCGATGGAGACAAATCGCGTCTCTTGTGGCAATTCCGTGTGGGCGAGTCTATTGAATACTACTCCCGCTATCACAAGGGCGCATGGATGCCTGCCATTGTCCAGAAGATTGACGAACATGCGCTTCGAATCAATGTTGCCGGATATCGTGATACGAGGCGGATTCTCGCCTCTGATATTCAAAGAAAGATTCGCAAGACGGAAAAAACAAAGGGTAAGTGAGAAAGCTCTCTGTTTCTCTTGAGATTCGATTCTAGTTTTTGTCAGGGCATCTCGCCAACGCCAACACCAGAGCAAGTGCAACAGGAGAACAAGGACTGGAACCGTACTCCGTGGCTCGTCAGCGAGTCAGCGACTGTGTGATGAATCGCAACCGAGCTTGAACAAGAATAGAGATGATAGCCATTGGCATTGTTCGACAGGTGCACAGGGTTACTCGGCATTTTGTCTGTTTGCAGTGTTTTGGCGATTAAAAGTGATTTTTATGTAAATGTCTACACACCATTAGTAGACATAAGTAGACAAAGTAGACATTGTGCGACTTTAGGAAACATTAGTAGACAAAGTGATACATTGGTAGACATTGGTAGACAAAGTGAGACATTGTGAGACATTGTGAGACATTGGTAGACATTTTTGTACTGTTTTACTGTACTGTGTAGACAAAGTGAGACATTGGTAGACATTAGCAGACAAAGTGATACATTGTGAGACATCCGGAGACATTGTGAGACATTTGTAGACATTGTGAGACATCCGGAGACATTGTGAGACATAAGCCACTTTTACAAAGGAGCATAGAACATTTAGGCAACTCTGTAATCAGATACAATAGCCTTAAATAGACAAAATGCCGAGTAACCCAGTGGTTGCCTGAAGGCCACTGGATGGCGGCTCTTGTACGACCCCACCGCCAACTAAAGCTGATTGTGGAAGCAGGGACAGAACTCCTCACGACAGCTACCGTATTGGTAGCTCTGGCAGTGTATAGATAGATCACATCAAAGCTACTAAGCAATCTAAGCCTGTTTCGGGATGACTGGCTGGTCGCCATGGCCAGGAAAGTTGAACAAATGGAACTGGCAACAAGTAGTGCCCGGTATCATGATTGTATCAGATAATATACCCTTCTTCCAACTTTTGTCACCCGTACATGCAATCTGACATGAGAAAAGCACACAACAAGATCCTAATCGACAGGTACACTGATTTGTGCATTTCTGCATTATTGTTGCGGTATACTAGTAAGCCAATTATTAGTTACTGCACAGTGGCCCCGGCCGACGTGGACAAGAGAGCTTTCACGGCTTGGTCATACGTCGGCTTGACATCACTTGTCAGGGCCACCGTATCGGTCACTTTGATGTTGCCATTTTTATCTTTGCTGGGCGTTTGCAAGACCACTTGCCAAGGTTCTGGATAGACTCTGTAAACCCAACCATAAACGCCTTTGTCGGATATTGGCTTCAAATAAAAGACCGACTCAAATTTTTTGTAAAAAGGTGTCGCTTTGGCCAGTGCCGGGAAAATAAAGGCTGCGTAGTATCCATCTCGGACCTTGTCGAGTGCTCCATTGACCACAACTGTCGGAACTCCTTTGGATCCTTTATGTAGTGTCTCGACATTGATCCAGTCTTCCACCGGCCCGGAATTGCCAGGCTGGCAAATGAGGTGGAGTTTGGGTGGACTGTTATCATTGAGCGAATCCAATGCAGTTTGATCTCCCAATAATCCAGCATCTCCACTATTACCACCCAGTAGCGAATTCATTCCAGAAGCAAAGGTAGCCCCCCATGGCTTGGAATAGGATTCATCGCCTTGTGTGTAGTGTTGAGTGACTTCTTCCAGACTGGTAAAAACAGCGGCTTGACGATACCGTTGTCCGGTCCACTTTTCTTTGGCTAACTCGCACTCTTTCAAATCCGGAAAGATCAACCAGGTCGGTTGAATTCCCAGCATGGGCGCCAACTGCACACACCAATCTTGATTTTGATTCAATTCTTGGACGTTGTCAAAGTCATCAAATTGCGTCTTGGACTTGTCTCCGCCCAGCAACGGAGGGAATTCAATCTCCATGGTTTGTACATTATCACGGAGCGCATCTTGGATTACCTTTTGACACGTCTTGCGGAATTCTCCTTGAAAATCTCGGGAACGAGCGGCAGACTTTTCAAAGGGAGATATTCCCGTGGGTAGCCGCGTCAGTTTGGCGCTCAATGCCGTAGTAGAGAAGGAAACTGAAGTCGCAGAGTCTTTGACTAATAAGGGCGAACCAGTAATAAAGGCGCTCACTACATGAGCACTGGCGAAAACCAATAACGATACTGAACTCCCAAAACTGAACCTCATTGTGTTGAATTTGTTGCCGTTTATTGTACAAGCAAAGGGACCAACAATGATGAGCAGACGAGGATCGAGGAAGAAATGAGGGCAAAGAAGGATCCACCTGGTTTGTGAGAAAAAGATCTTGTTGAAGGATGACGTCATTGATACGGTACGGTATCATTCAGTCCCGAACTTAATTCATTCACGCTCATGAGGGCACGTCTCGGCATCGGAAAAACTACAGTACTGTATGGTACCTGGTACCTGTAGACTACAGTACTGTACAGATCGTCAGTGCTTGATCATTGGGAGTAGTAGGACACATGCTTATGAGCCTCCTGAATATGCATGGTGTTGCCTGCCAGTTTATTCTTTCACTTAGCTCCAGGGTCAGGTCCTCGACAACTCACACCGAAGGAGGGAGAACATTGGTTTGCTGCCTCCTGTATGCAGACTAATCACTCCGTTTCCCTTCTTGTACTCGACGACGAAGTTGGCCTGCACCTCTTGAAACATATCCTCGAATCCTCATAGGAGCGTGCACAGTGCTTTCAGGAGGACTCCTGCTGACTCCGATGCAAGCAGGATGGGAATGATCAATCTGCTGCTTCTCTGCTTCTTCTGTCCTTTCCCTGGTGGCTCTTCTTCAATTGAATCAGTTCCGTTTCAGCACCGGACAAGCCCCTTTCAGTTCAACGCCTCCCCATTGATGCTATAATGGTACCGAGCTGGTACGAGAGACGGTGAAATCAGCTGAGCTTTGATATTATTGTTCATCTAGAACACATGACTCTAGTATATAATATGGAGTGAAAACATGGCACAGTTGTAACGATGGAGTGAAAACATGGCACAGTTGTAACGTTGCAGGAATCGAGTTGCTGAGAGAAAGCTGGTTCTCTGGTTTGGACTGTTTGGTTTGCGAGACAGGTAGGTCACCACAACTTGTCACTCTTTTCTTCCTCCGTGGTGTCTGACAAATCAGCCGAGAAGGTGTCGTAAAAGTCCGAGTGAATTGGTGTGTTGACGGAATACCGTCGTCGTTTGTTGGTGTCTGCCATTTTGCGTTCCTCAGCAGAGAGTTGATATCTATTGGGAGCACTTCGATCGATCCCCAATCCATCCAGGACCATTTCGACATCGACATCAGCATCCAGAAACGACACATCCCACATTGGATTCCAATACTCTTGCATCATTTTCTGCACTTGTGTCTCATCATCAATGACCACGCCCCACTCTGCCAAGTCACAAATGTACAAGTTCTGTGACCCAATATAGGCAGCACGGTCATCAATGATAAAATGCTTGGCATGCATACCAATGGTAGTCCCATCTTCCCATGTACTTCCCAAGTCTCCTAATCGAATAAAGCACAGTCGTAGATTGTGTTGTACCTTTTTCCGCAGTGCGTCTCTGGTGCAAGCATCTTGCGGAAATTGTTGGACGATGGTTTTGATAATTTCCGACGCCACATCGACACAGTTCCAACCATTTCCATAATTGGCTTCGGTCGGTGTCAATCCCCCCGGGATACTGTTGGGATTACTCAATAGAATTTCCACATCGACTCCTTTGGTCCATATGATTCGCCCGAGTGCTCGTAAAATGTCTCGAGGCCAGACCAAGCCGGGAATGGTGATTTTCGTGCCAGGAATACAAACGGGTCCCAAATCTTGCAATGCCAGTCTCACAATTTTGTGGGCCGATTCCAGCATGGCGACAATGGCATCGTCCGACGGCTTGTGCCGTCTCATGACGGCTCCATAGCGTCCCATGCTAATGACGGGAATGGTTCCTTCCGGGTCGACATGTGGTTGTTGTGGTTGCTGTCCAAGTACGAGCGCTCGATTGTACATGGGTGGGAATATATCGGCCACACCTTCGGGGTATTCACTGACGGTGACCCGCGACTGCAAAAACATGGGCATGGCATCGGGCATTCGATCGACACAACTTCCAATACACGTGAGTTGCTTTCGTTCAATATATGCCCATTGCGCATTGGCAAACAAGTGACCATCGTTGGCCACCCGTCCTTCCATTTCCAAACTCAAGTCATGCACCGGATTGTGTTTGAGGTACTGCATATATATAATGTATAGAAGAATGAATGATGAGATCTGGCTGACATCGCAAACCTTGCAGCCACACAACACCGTTGTATCTCTTGAGATTACTTACATGAAAATCCCACAGATTGTGTCCTCCCGTATGCAGGTATTTTCCGTCGACAGCAATAATCTTGGCGTGATTCCAGGAAGTTCCCTTGCGCCATGCTCCTACCCATAGATGCAACTTATGCGGTTGAGTGCATGATGGTAAATCCTTGGTGAGTTCTCGAATGACGGCAGTGCAATTGACGGGCATTCCGACAATGTTTCCAAACATCATGCGCACTACAATGCGTTGATTTGTGGCGTGCGATCGCAGTGCCAATACATGCAGTGCTTCTTTGAATTTGGTCATGAACATTCCATCGGGTGGACCCAGACTCATAATGTCACACCATTTGTGCGTTCTTGTAATAATTTCCGCCAATTTCTCGGGGAACCAGTCGTCGTGGCCGGCTGTCAAATCTCGCGTCGACTTCCAGGACCGATACGGTGTGTATTGGAGCGATCCCACCACGCGGCCCGTAGTGACATTCCAGAGTTGATGGTGTTGCCGGGGATGGCGTGTCCGCAGGACTTGATATGCCGCTTGACCGACATAACTCAGTTTCGCGGCAGTGGCATCTTCGGCATCCACGTCTTCGGGAATAGTACCGACATGAGTGGCACAACACGGTAGGAATTCAAAGACCGTGTCCAGTGTATTTTCCGTGTTGGCCACGGCGGCGACCTTGACCTTGATGGCTAGTGTTCGCGCCGACTTGTCTACATTGCCCATTGACGACATCTTGGCAGAGTGTGTTTGTTGTCCACAGACAGTATAGTGGAGTGTTCAGAAGGCTAACAATAGATAGATATCAATCAAAATGTGAGCAGGTCCTTTCAACGCAAGAGCTTCCGGCCCACCAACAAACATTGCATCTGTTCGAGTGATCCTTTGGTCGGCAGTACCGCAAAGGAGATCTTGGCTGCAGGAAATGGTTCCGGATTCCAGTGAGCGCATTCGGGTGATTGGACGCCCTGCTTTTGTTTTTAAGTAAGTTTGGTAATTAAAGTACGTTGGAGACGTTGAGGCTTACTTGATCACTTCGAGTTAAATACGTTAATAATTACACTAACTATTGGCGGCGCGAGCGACCCCGGCCAGCTATGCCTGAACCCAAGTCAAGTTCCGCCACACGATATCTTTTTTGACACCAAAGAGGACGGTTCCAACAACAACCAAGGTGTACCTTGCTTTGGCCTGACAACACAAAGATGACAACACTCATCATCAGGAGCGTCATAACAACAAGAACCGTTCATTTCTTCCCACTACTAATGGCACTAGTTTTACTTAGAAGATCGTGTTCCAATGCATTCGTCGTTGTCAATCAGGTGCCACCAAAATTCGTTTCGCGTCGATTATTGCCACCACCACGACTAATAACGATACGGCATGCCAGTGTCACGGGCGGTGTGTATCAAGAAACAGACGACAGTAGTAGTCCGACGGTGACCCTCTTTACCAAGGAAGGATGTACGTTATGTGACAAAGTCAAGGATGTGCTCCAAGAAGTGCGGGAGGAACTGCCACACAGCTTGGACCAAGTCGATATCACGGATGAACAACACGCAAACTGGTTTGGAAAATACAAGTACGATATTCCCGTCCTTCATTTGAATGGACAATACTGGCTGAAGCATCGTACCACAAACGAAGAAGCTCTGGAGGGATTACAAGAGGCGCGAGATGGGACCTTTCAAGCCAAACCTGGAGAACCCAATGCGGAAGCCATGGAACGGAACTAGACTAGACTAGTAGCTTGTCTAGAAAGAGTTCACTCACTCACTAGCTAGCTAGAACAAGAATCTACAGGAATATTGGTGGTTTGTTTGATTAGGCTTTGATTATCTTTGCAACCTCTGTGGATTCGGATTTTGAGCTGATTCAGTGGATGCACCCATGGACAACCCACACTCCGGCATGTTTCATTCCTTGCCACCCCATGATAGGCTGGATAACGTCAAATTGATGGACTCCACGGATGTGATGAGAGATTATTACTACTGAACTACAGCACATTGCTGGAGATCATTGGGGGGAGTTGCTGGGGACTTGGGCTGACTGATTCTATTCATTCCATTGGACCTTGTCGGCCTTCTTGAGAATTGCCACGCACGGATCGCCATGAAGGAGCTGCCAATCTGTAACCGTTGTCGGCGTGATCCCTATAGTGCGCTGCCAACCTTGTTGGGAATACTGCAACATCAAGGTTATCCCAATTCCTTTTTGAGGTTGGCTGCACCACAACATTTGGGCTCGTTTGAGTCGGTGCTTTGTGGACCTTGATGGCTGGGTGTCTTGAATCGGCCTGTGTGGATATAAGTTTGAACGCAAGGCTATATATGTTTACTGCTTGCTGCAAGGCCACGAGTACCGCAAATACAAGGCAACCGAATACAAACGTATTGATAAGACACTCGGAGGTTTCATCAAGCTGGTGCCAACCGACTATTCCAAAGTTTCAGGACAGGATGCAACTGTGATTTCAAGACCCCCGTCCAACGAGAACGTTTAGCCAGGGCCTTGCAGCTAATTCTCATCCTGAAGATCATAGTTCTGAAGAAAGTCGATGTGACGACGATAATCAAAATCATAGCTCGTTGCAGCCGAAATACGGTTTGAGAAGCTGATCACAGTGCACTCGCAGGACCTCGGAATGGTTAGGCCGACAAAGGGCACCTCCAACAACTTCAAGTTCGCGGTGACGGACTCTATCTGGCTGAATTTGGCCTTCGTTGAGTCGAATTGTTGCCTGTTCAGGTTGGGAAGTGAACCGTTTCCCTCCTTTATGCCCCCGCCTTTGCATCGAAAGATTTCGAGCCGGGGACATTGACATTGAATCCACATCCCACCTGCAAGACCCACGACGTCCAAGAACTTGAGGGAATTCGACTTGATCACGAAGCAGCCATAAAATCGCGGGAACTGCCACTGGAAAGGTCTTGTGTCCTTGTGAGCAAGCTTCAGCCGTTCCAGTGCTTCAAGGTCACAGATGAGCCTTTCAAATATGCGTGTTGGGCGCAATGGATCCCAGCTTCTTCTCCCGTTTAGCTCCAGCGTCAGGTCCACCACTCGCACAGAAGGATGGGAGAACGTTGGTGTGCTCAGGTGGCTCATGCAGATGCTGTCTGGCTTCCTGTACTCGACGAAATTGGACGAAAACTCCTCCAAAGCAAAGCAGGGCAGTTCTCGGCGATCACATCGTGCAGGAGTTTCTGGTCATGCTCTGGAACCTGATTTCGTTCCTAACCATGCCAAGAGACTTGAGCGTTCATGACTCTGGTGTTCGCAGTGTCGCATGCCTGAATTACTCTCAGCATTTCGTCAACGTTTTCTCGACCCCTAGCATTGAATTTCAAGGCACCAAGACGCAAATTATGAAAACACATCCAGTTGGTGCAATCCTTGTCTATCTCCCCAGGTTGTTGCAATGGAAGAGTGCAAAAGTCGACATCAACAAAGCCCAAACAAAGTCGAAAGTTTTCGAAGCAGGACTGCCGCCACTTTAAGCAGACACTCGACAGGTTAATGAATAACCGACCTGCCATCTTGAGAGGCAGAAGTCTAGGTCGAGAAACACCGACCTCGGCATTACTGTCAGATGCAAGATTGCCAAAAGCTGTCTCAGAAGCATCTACCTGTTTCCCGTCCCCACCACCAAGGAATGAGAAAACATGAACCAGAAGAGCAGTATCCAAAAATGCACAGAGCCCCTGATTGGTTTCGTGGTTCCCTTGGGTTGGGATTCTCGTGACGCTCCCCTTCCTCCACTTGATGGTTTGCCCAAGGGGTTCCACATCGAGCGGTTTGACCCTGTCATCCATGAACCATACGGTGGACGCTGTACAACGACCGCAGCTCTTCTCTGCATCCCCATGCATTCATAATGACGAGCTGTTGATGTCAGCCAAACTGTTTCGCCAACTTCGGGGGGAGCGGATGCCACTCGTTTCTTGCTCATGGTTCTCTGACTTTGCGACGGAAGTAGCTCTCGAACGCTTGATACCAGGTACCCAAAGTTATGATATTGTTGCTATGCAGATCTGATTTCCCTTTGGCAGCGTATGAAGCCTCGCTTCAACGTCTTCTACTAGCTAGAACGGATGACATAAAGAATGAAGCTAGCATGTGTTTACATGTACGCAGCCACGATCCATCCGTCCACGGCAGCAGTGGAGCCCAAGACGAACGAATCCAAGAAGCACAGCAGGACGAGTGGTACGTTACAGCAACTCTACAAGGACCAATATTGTATGCCATAGTCATCTCGGGGGGTGCATTAGAGTGGAAACTCTTCTGGCCAAGACGGATGTTGGACAGACGAGAGTCCCCAATCTCATTCTTCCAGCCAGTGCTCTTCCCAGAGGACCATCAACCTTGAATCGCAGAGCCCATTGTTTGTTTGTCTTGATCCACCTCTCTTCTATTGGTGTATCAAGACTGCTCTTTGGTGACTCAACGAACCAGTCCGATTGTCTCAATTTGATAATCGATGAAGCTCTTGACAAGAAAACCCCGCAGATGCAAGTGTGGACGTCACGTGAATGCTTGCGGAACGGGCGTTGACCATACCCCCCTCTGGGCCAAGCCCATGTGCCCACCACACAACCCCATCTCGAAACTACGTAGCAATGATGAAGTTTGAGGCCATCCAGCCTTCTGAACAGTTGATCCCCAGCCACTTGGCAACTTCAGTTACACTCTTCGGCTGATTCGTGCTCCTCAACCGATCAAAGCCGCTTCTGCGACAGAATCAAAGTCCGAGCTTGATGAGAGGGCCAATCGGATTCCCGTACTATTTCTGCTTTCGCTGCCTTCGGTGCATGTGCAGTCTGATGGTAATGTGACCGCGGACTGCCATTTATTTCAGTATCCCTTGTACTGGTACTGGCTCTTTATCAAGTGAGTATTGGCGAGCGACGAGAGAGGGCGCGGCCCTCGCAGAAGAGGCAGATGCATTCCAGCCCATGAAAAAACAGAAGCTAGCTAGTTCTGTTTTCTGTTGGTGCTGAAGTGTGTGGTTCTGCCAGATCAGAGCTTGGACCACAAGGAAAGCAGCCGACCACTGTTGTAAAAGTGGCCCAGTCAACGAAGTCAAGACTGGCTGTACAAGGACAAAGATGAGTGCTACTACAGCTGCTACTACTAGCTACCTGGTACCGGTATGGTCCGCAACACAGTACGCTACCTAACCGAAGGCTTCACCTTTGGTCCCCCATCTAACCTGTATTCTGCTTACACGTACTGAATGTTCTAGCTAATGGTATCAGAGGCACATGCGCCACACACTCTCCTCTGCCTACCGAAATATCTACTTGCAAGTTACATGATAGCTCATGTGGAAGCCAGGCTAAAATTAATGTACGTGCTTTCGGTAGCTGGCTGGACTTCCAGCTCGGGAACAGTGGCGACAAAAAAATGCTTTCGAGAATCCGAATGGAAAGCGTTTTTACCTTTTCACCACTGTTGATGAATCACTATGCAGTTGAGTGTAAGGGCAGGTCTCGGAGAATTCCAGTGACCGAACGAAGGAGCACAGAAATTCCCCAGAACTGATCATGAACTTCCGATCCTGGTCTGAGGACGAAATCCACGTTTAGGGCAAGGCAACCCTCCAAACCAAGTACTCGAGTACATGTAAGGTCCAGGAGCTGTCCAGATATGCACCTCATGTCCCATAGCCCGCTCCTTGCTCAGGTCATAAAACACATTTCCTTCCCACCATAAAGCAAACCAATTGCCAAACCAGCCACGAAGATGATGGAGTTTCTACCTGTTACCCCTCCCGAAGTAGGACCAAGGCAAATAGTATTCCCTCCAACCAGAAGAGATTCCAAGAAGGCGCTCGTCCATGAAGTTACAGAGAAAAATGTTCTGCTCATGAATCTCCCCTTTGCTCCGCTTTCGACGGAAGAAGAAAGGTTGTACAATTCGTGCCCACTGAATGGATTCTCCCTCGACGACGACAGCGACAATGACGAAAGAGAAACTACGGAGCAGGGAGGCTTCCTACAACCAGGGCCATCCACCCACCAGTGGTTGGTGGACGCTTGTTTAGCCAAGATGGCAGAACAGGGCTCCACAAAACTCAACTTTATCAGGCCAAAGATTATGAAAAAGAAGAAGAAGAAGGCAGGAACTTCTGGTTGGCTCCCGAATACCTCCAGTTTCAAAACAAATACAGCGGATAGGTCTACCCCCCGCTATGGGTTGCGTCGCAGTCCCATTCGACGAAGCGCAAGCGCAGCTTCCTGTGCTTGATTGAAGAAATAGAATGTACTCGGCTCGAATAAATACTAGAGCATGGAATCGTTTCTCTCGTGGTCGTGGCTGTTCAGGAGGGAACAACGGTAAACAGCATAGTAATATAATAGCTTAAAAACCAAAGCAGTAGACATTTCTGCTTCGAGGAGCCTGACAAATAGTCGATCTAGCCGCCTACCTGTACCTCTTCAAGGGGGCAACATTCCTTGAGAGTTGTAAATTGGTGACGGTACAAGCGGCCCCATGCCAAAGTGTTTGATGCAGCTTTGCTGGGGTATTATTGCTGAGTCCCTATCCATGCACGACTCGTGCGTGGGCTTCTTTTCTTTTGTCTGAAGATGAATGACGCCCAATGACGGTGATGCTGTCACCGTTGGCGTTGAACACCGCCATCTGCAACCAACACAAAAAGACACACCCTCCTTTCCTTTCGATTGATCGACACTTTGACATTGTATCCTACATCCGCAACCGAATGACCATGGCGAAGAGTCTTCACTTCTGCGCCCTGTTGGTGCTCTTGTGCAGCAGTCAGGGAACAATGGGCTTTCAACCGATCCAGCCAAAGCAAACAGTGTCTCCTCTACAGATGGAAGCCGATAACTTTGTGGCTCCCAACTCGAGTCCCTACGAGAATTCCGATGTACCCGGTCTGATGTTGGGTTGGGACTGGTGGGATCAGCCAATGGATCGAGAAAGAGATCCACCTTCGGTTTGGCAGCGATTGAAAGAAGGTGGAAACTTTCAGCCTCCCGTCAAGCCCAACGCCTACGTCTCGCCGTACAATTGGGACAACTAACTGAGAGCTGACAAGAACACTAATAACGAGATGAGCAGCTAGCGGAATGAGCGTAACGAAGCAGAAGAAGAAATATGTCGCTTACAAGTGTAGTTTCTATATTGTAACTTGTGAGAAAGAAGTCGAGTGTATGTCATACAAATATGTGCTAGCTAAGTGCCGGTTCTAGATAGCTATGACAAAAGAGCGGTTGGATGTTAGAAAAGTTTCTCATTTGATTGCAGCCTGGATGGACCGCTGATACACAGCCAATCGGCAGACCGGGCAGGACATAGTCCATTGTGGCAAGGCCACGTCTGAAAGTTCAAAGAAACACACGACCACACACAACTGAGAGAGGCCAAACGGACGATCATTCCTTCACCTAACCTTGCCCAAGGCATACAGCACACTACACGCACAAAGCATCCGCCAACCCAACAGCAGAAAGCATTCGAAAACGACTTTTTGATTCCCAACAAACCGACAAGAACCATGGAAACAACGGTTCCACTTTCCGCCACTGGTCATTTGGCAACACTGGAACACAGCATCTTTTGCAACGGCGTCCTCTCTTTTTTGGACCGCACATCTATACGAACACTCATGTACATGTCGGATTTCTGTGACCACTATGAGCTTCCAATGTACTTTTGTCGCCTTCACGGGAGCCGAAAGGGTGTCCTCCATTCGTTCGCCAAAGAAGAAGAAGAAAACCAGACCTTGGAGACCAAGGTAGCTAGAGAAATCAATGAAGATCCTCTGTGGAAAGACCTATCACATTCGAGGCGCATTCTTTGTATGGATTGTGTCATGCAATTTCATCGATACTACCGGTGCAACTTTTGCCACAAACTGGACGAAGCAAGCAAGTTTGAGACAACGTGCCCCGATTGCAACCAAAAGCCCGTCCTGCATGTTGCCTTTGCCAAGGACAAATCAGGGACCAAATAAGAAGTAGGTCGGCAATCATGTGTCCTACGATTTGCAAATGAGCAAGCCAGTACGTCGTGACGCGAGTGGATGCGGAATTTCTCGGCTATTGCAAGCTGACTGGACTCGCCGTGACTGCAATTCGAATATTTTGCACGCATCTTGGCTGTTCGGGGTCATCCCCTTTATCCACCAACCGGGCTGCTATCATACCTGGTAAGCCTATAGACAACGGCCAGCTCCGGTTCCTAAAAGTTCTTCTATTATGCTAGGTCTACTTATTTCCTGTCGACGGTCGATTGGTAGCAGCATGCATGGCTTACCGGTACAACCCGCAAACTAGCTTTTGATCCTGGCCACCGGTACCGGTAGCAGCACCATCAGCGGTGGAATGTACTGTAGTTGGTCAAGATGACCAGGGGATTCTTCCACAATGGGCTTGCACTGAGGTTGGTGCTCTGGCCGCGCAGCATTCTCTAGCTACTAGAGCAGTTGATAATCAATTCATTTCATCCTCTTGGTGAGAAAAATGGCAAGGCTTCAAGGAAACTGGGCATCTCGACACCGTCCAACCCCGACATGCTTAACGGCGCGTCACGTCAAAGGACTCACTCCTATTTACCGAAATTATGCGCACTAATTTTGTAGCTCTTCTTCTAATCACCTTCTCTACTTTAATGCTTTAAACGAAGGCAAGAACAATAGTAATCGTTTTCATGCACGCCGAAGAAGTCAAAAGAAGCAAGGGGAGCACCGCCTGAAGGTCAAATCACGCCATTTTTTCATGAGGGATCGATTTCCGGGGAGCATCAGAGAGCTTATCGGGATAAAGACGAACAAGAGCAGATTGGATGACTTCGTTAGCAGGTATACCGGTACCGGTATATCTACATGTATCTCAAATGGAGGCAACCAACCGTCAGTCCTGTCGAACCGACAATCCACCCTCTCGTACCGGTACGATACCTTTGCGGACGATCGTTTTCATTTCGAAACGGCAATTCTGACGCACTCAATTTTTGATTTTGAAATATCATCTCGTTTCTCGGTTTTGGTTTGATGTTGACACCTCGGCACGAAACGAACTCAAACAATGCATGTTTGATTTCAAAAGCTATCGCTGAACTGAAACGAACTTCCGAAAACGACGGTTGCCTGAAGTTTCTTGATTCATCTCCTTCACAATTTCGCACAAAGTCTGCTTCGCAACCCCTACGTCGTCAATCCATTTCATCAACAAAATCCTCATCGTCGCCATGATCAATATAAGCTGCTTTCTTCCCTCATCATCATCATCATCATCATCATCATCAGTGTCATCCACATCATCAGTGTCATCCACATCATCAGCATCTTGCGTCTCACTCAAGCACTCTCAGCTGGAACGCCCCCATCATCATTGTTGTCGCCCTGCCGTTGCCGTCGCCGTCGCCCTGCTGTTGACGTTGCCGTCGCTCATCAAGATTGGCTCGTCACTTCCCTGTCATCATCAAATGCCATCAGTCAGTATCATTATCATCATCGTTTCCAAGATTGACCGGTTCTTTTGATCATTCGTCGTCAACACTACCTTCACAATCTACCAACCAATTCACCTTCCGATGAGTGTCCTACCTCCTACCATGCATGCCAGGCAAGTAGACCATCTGATGGTGCCCCTGCGCTGTTCCTGTGGTGGTTCCTGCTGCTGTTGGTGGTTCCTGTGGTTTGGTCGGTTGGTCGCCTAGTGCTCCTGCTCCATTGACTAGTGCTCTATGGCCCTTGGATTTGATCGAAAGTCTCTTAGGAGGTTCCAATTTCGACATGATGATCCAAGAGTACTACAACCTTGTCCCTGTTGGTGTCCCTGTGGTGTCCCTCTGAGGTTCCTGTGGCGGTGCCTGTGGTGGTTCCTGTGGTGGTCTGCTACTGTTGGCGGTTCCTGTGGTTTTGGTTGGTTGTTGGTTTGTTGGTTGCCTAGTGCTCCATTGCTGGTGGTTCCTGTGGTGGTCCTGTGGCGGTGCTGTGGTTGGTTGGTGCGCCTCTGCTAGTGCTCCTTGACTATGCTCTATGGCCCTTGGATTTTGATCGAAAGTCTCTTAGGAGGTTCCAATTTCGACATGATATCCAAGAGTACTACACCTTGTCCCATGTCCTGTGGGTTCCTCTAGTTCTGGGCGGTCTTGGTGGTTTCCTGTGGTGGTTCCTGCTACTGTTGGCGGTTCCTGTGTTTTGGTTGGTTGCCTAGTGCTCCATTGCTTGTGGTCCTGTGGGGTCCTTGGGGTTCCTGTGTGCTGTGGTGGTTCCTGTGGTGGTGCCGGGTGTTCTGCTGCTGTGTGGTTCCTGTTGGTTTGTTGGTTGGTCGCCTAGTGCTCCATTGACTAGTGCTCTATGCCCTTGGATTTGATCGAAAGTCTTTAGGAGGTTCCAATTTCGACTGATGATCAGAGTACTACACCTTGTTCCCTGTGTGGTCCTGTGTGGTCCCTCTGGAGGTCCTTCGCCTGTGTGGTTCCTGTGCGTTCCTGCTACTGTTGCGGTGTTCGTGTGTTTGGTTGGTTGGTTTGGTTGGCTGCTAGTGCTCCATTGTCTGGTGGTGGTTCTGTGGTGGTCCCCTTGGCGGTGCCTGTTGGTTGCTTGTCGCCTAGTGCTCCATTGGCTAGTGCTCTATGGCCCTTGGATTTGATCGAAAGTCTCTTAGGAGGTCATTTCGACATGATGATCCAGAGTACTACAACCTTGTCCTGTTGGTGGCCCTGTCCCCTCTGGAGTTCCTGTGCGGTGCCTGTGTGTGGTCCGCCATTCGGTTTTTGCTTCCGTGTTCCTGCTACTGTTGGCGGTTCCTGTGGTTGGTTGGTTGGGTTGGTTGCCTAGTGCTCCATTGCTGTGGTTTGTGCGTCGCTGTGGTGGTTCCTGCTGCTGTTGGGTGTTCCTGTGGTGGTGCCTGTGGTGGTCCTGCTGCTGTTGGTGGTTCCTGTGGTTTGTTGGTCCCGTGGCGTGCCTGTGGTGGTTCCGTGCTGCTGTGGTGGTTCTTTTTGTCGCTAGTTCCTATTGCTGTGCTCTATTTGCCCTTGGATTTGATCGAAAGTCTCTTAGGAGGTTCCAATTTCGACATGAGATCCAAGAGTACTACAACCTTGTTCCCTGTTGGTGGTCCTGTGGTTGGTCCTGGTGGTTCCTGTGGTGGTTCTGCTAGTGGCGGTTCCTGTGGTTTGGTTGGTTGCCTAGGCTCCATTGCTGGGTTCCTGTGGCGGTGGCTCTGTGGTTTCCTGCTGCTGTTGGTGGTTCTGTGGTGTTGGCTCCTGTGGCGGTGCCTGTGGTGGTTCCTGGCGGTGTGGGTTCCTGGTTGGTTGTCGTTGTCCTAGTGCTCCATTGGACTAGTTCTCTATGCCCTTGGATTGATCGAAAGTCTCTTAGGAGGTTCAATTTCGACATGATGATCCAAGGATACTACAACCTTGTCCTGTTTGTGGTCCCTGTGGTGTCCTCTGAGGTTCCTGTGGCGGTGGCCTGTGTGTGGTTCCCTTGTGGTTCCGGTGCGGTCTGGTTGGCTCTCCTGCTGTGCTTTCTGTTCTGTGTGCGTGGTTCTCTGTCGGTTCTGCTGCGTTGTGCGTCTCCGTGGCGTCGTGTCTGTGGTGGTTCCTGCCTGCCTTGGTGGTTCCTGGGGTTTGGTCGCGATTGGTCGCCTAGTGCTCCATATTGCCATAGGCTCTATGCCCTTGGATTTGATCGAAGTTCTCTTAGGAGGTTCCAATTCGAAGATGATACCAATAGTGAGATCACATCTTCCGCTGTGGTAGTCCCTGTGTGGTCACTGTGGTGGTTCCTGTGGTTGGTCGGTCTGTCGGTTTGTGTTGGTTGGGTTGCTTCCTTCCATTGCTCGTGTGGTTCCTGTGGCGGTGCCTGATGGTGGTTCCTGCTCCTGTTAGTGGTTCTGTGGTTTGTTGGTCCCTTGTGGTCGTGGCTGTGTTGGTTCCTGCTGCTGTTGGTAGTGTCCTGTTGGTTTGGTCGGGTTGGTCGCCTAGTGCTCCAATGACTAGTGCTCTATGGCCCTTGATTTGATCTGAAAGTCTCTTAGGAGGTTCCCAATTTCGACATGATGAACCAAGAGTACTACAACCTTGTCCCTGTTGGTGGTCCTGTGGTCCTTGGTGGTCTTTCCTTTTGGAGTGTCTTCGTCTGTTCCTGTGGTTTGTGGTTGCCTAGTGCTCCTTGCTCGGTGGTTCCTTGTGCGGTGCCTGTGGTGGTTCCTGCTGCTGTTGGTGGTTCCTGTGGTTGTTGGTCCCCTGTGGTGGTTCCTTTGGTGGTTCTTTTGGTGGTTCCTGCGCTGTTGGTGGTTCCTGTTGGTTTGGTTGGTGGCCTAGTGCTCCATTGACATAGTGCTCTATGGCCCTTGGATTTGATGAAAGTCTCTTGGGAGGTTTCATTTCGACATGATGATCCAAAAGTACTACAACCTTGTCCTGTTGGTGGTCCCGTGGTGGTCCCTCTGGAGGTTCTGGTGGTGGTTCCTGCTACTTGTGGCGGTTCCTGTGGTTGTTTGGTTGCCTGTGCTTCTTCATTGCTGGTTGGTCCTTGTGGCGTGCCTGTGGTGGTTCCTGTGTGGTTGTCAGTTGTGTTCCTGTGGTTGCTATAGAGGCGTTGCC